AGGACCCGCTGATAAGACACACTGAAGACTCCTCTGAGCACTGAAGACACATAAAAGGAGGAAACTCCACAGAAGATCAGACATTCCTTCTGCTCCTCCACAGAAGGTCGCCCCCCACTCCCCCCTGCCTGAACCGCGAGCCCTGAACCCTGAGCCTCGAACCCTGAGCCTTCGTGAGAGGCCCCAACTCAAGCTGATCTGCAGCTGCAACATCCTCGGTGAACTGTGTGTGTCTGTCAGTGCCTAGGATTCTGGAACCCACCAGGACTCTGGCAAATAAACTGTGAGTGATTCGTGCACTGCATGTTTGTCTCCTGTGTAATTTATGCTCGGTGGAATTATTAATTACCTAGGGCCGTACGTGTCAGATTTCTGGCTGAGGCTTCCTAGGTCACCTGTGCATACGTCCCTTATGGAATTATTGGGACAGATGCAAAGCCCCCGGTGCCTAGCAACAGGCAATCAATTGTAGGATGGGACCTAGCCCTCAGGTGACTGTTCCTCTCCTAGCATATTGCTGGTCACACAGTTTGGACCAGGACCACCTGACCTTTCCTACCTGGAGATAACATCTATGCCTCAGGAGTATTTCAGCCCCAGGACAAGCAACAAAAGAGCCTCTGGACAAGCTGCATTGAATAATGACACTCTAACTAACTGAGCTACATGGCCAGAGAAGTTGTACTTTTAACCATAGTTGTATTATATTAAAAAATTATTATAATTATCTTAAATTACCACTATAACAGCTCTGTTTACCAGGACATTCCTGCATCTATGTAAGGATATTTAATAGTTGTAATCATGGGTTTACTCCTTATGCTGGTTATGAAGGTATATCTTGAAGTTCAAACCCATTGGTGATGCTGTGGCTGTGACACAGCAAACCATGCTGCCTGTAAAGTTTTCCAAAAAGGGGTGCTGGAGGAGACCAGAAGCCTGGAGTGGGAAGAAGGGACTTGCTTCTTGCTATCAGCTTGCTGTAACTGAGGAGACAGAAGGAAGCTGGTAGTCAGGAATGGGGACCCTGGTGGTGTTGGGGCTGGAGAGAAAGGAAGTAAAACTGGGGAACCCATGCTGAGACCGGTTTAGCTCAATGGATAGAGTGTCGGCTTGGGGACTGACGGGACCCGGGTTCGATTCCGGTATAGGGCATGTACCTTGGTTGCGAGGATATCCCCAGTAGGGGGTGTGCAAGAGGCAACTGATCGATGACTCTCTCTCATCGATGTTTCTAACTCTCTATCTCTCTCCCTTCCTCTCTGTACAAAATCAATAAAATATATTAAAAAAAAACAAAAAACAAAAAAAACCTGGGGAACCCAGCCAGGCAGAATTGCGAGGCAATCCAACTGGGCGTGGAAAGAAGGGCACACAGGAGAGACAAACTTTAAAATGTATGGATTGTTGCTAAAACAAGCAGGTTTCAGATAACCAAGGCAATGAGGCATATAATAAACCAATCCCAAGGATATTGTTAAGGCAGAACTCTTTGAAAAGGCCAGTCAGGAACTAGCAAGGCTGTATCTAGCCCCCTAGATTAAAAATCCGGCACTTGCTCTCGCTCCCTCATGCCCACCCCTGTGGGCTAGATTCCTGGGTTGATGGCAGGAGGTATGCTCCCCATGCGCCCACGTGGTTTACTGCCATATGGGACTCTGCATATGGACTAATAGACCTGAACAGCTGACTCTAACACGGAAAGGAAGCTCTGGGCACTGGCTGCTCCTGGAACCCCTTTTCCAGGACTGGCTTCTCTCAACAAACATTGGTTCCGCTGACCAGTTTGTTCCGCGACTTCATTCTTCAATATTTTGAGACAGTGAACTCAGAATCAAACCCCACATTTTGATTTCATAACTGCCATTGTCACCCAGCAATGGTTCTTTTCCCTGGCTGCAGCAGTTGGTTCCAATTTCTAGTTTTTAACCTACCTTCTCAGATCCAGCAACCTTCAACATTTACCTTCCGAAATACCAACCGGGCGGGTACAGGCCCTTCCTTGGAAGCCTGAATCCCAGCTCCCTCCAGGCCCTTTTCCAGCTCTTAGTTTCTGATAATCTGAATACTTCTCTGTCCAGATCTGTCACTGGCAGCTGCTTCCTGCAGTTACTATCTCTCAGTTACTGCAATGTTTCCTCTTGCCTTTCCAACCCTCCATTGCCTGTTTAAGCAATTCCTTAAAGTTTCTGTAAAAATAGTTGCTGAGATTTCTGTCTTATGAGTAGACCCTGATACCACTAAGAAACCCAGAAATACCCTTTGAACTCCTTATATAGATTTATGATAGGTTTGTTATTGTGGTAAGCAAATGGCATTTATAGGATACATCCAGTGTCCAACTGACAAAAATCTATATTCTAAAGTTAATTTATAAGTCCATTGTTTGAATCTTGAAGTTGTTTTTCCTGGTAAAACAATATTATATATTAAAGTTTGATGAGCAGATCAACCCACCAATGCTCATAATATATCTGAAGCACAACGTTGTACAAATTGTGTTAAAGAGCAGAATTAGCATTGTTTTGGCAATGTTAAAGAATAGAATTCAGTGGAGTAAATTTGGCTTTATTAAGTAACTAGAGGCCTGGTGCACAGATTCATGCACTGGTGGAGTCCCTTGGCTTGGCCTGTGGGGATTGGGCTGAAACTGGCTCTCTGATATCCCTTGAGGGGTCCTGGATTGTGAGAGGCTGCAGGTTAGGCCAAGGGACACCACTGGTGCATGACCAGGACCTGAGAGGGACTGTGGGAGGGCTCCAGGATGTGTCCAGCCTGTCTTGCCCAGTCCTAATTGGCTGGACCCCATCAGCAAGTGAACCTACTGGTTGGAGCATCTGCCCCTGATGGTCAGCGTGCATCATAGCGACCAGTCAACTGGTCAGAATGGTCACTTAGGCTTTTATATCTATAGACTAGAGGCCCAGCCCACAAAATTCGTGCATGGAAGAAGGTTCCTCAGCCTGGCCTCCACCCTCTCTAATCTGGGACCCCCCCATGGGATTGGACCTAAATGGAGTCAGACATTCCTCTCGAAATCCAGGATGACTAGCTCCTAACCCCTCACCTGCCTGCCTGCCTGCCTGATCGCCCCTACCTTGCCCCCTTGCCTGCCTGATCGCCCCTAACTGTCTCTGCCTACCTGATTGCCCCTAACTACCCTCCCCTACCAGCCTGATCTCATCTCCAAATGCCCTTCCCTGCTGGCTTGCTCGCCCCTAACTGCCTCTGCTTCGGCCCCCACCACCATGGCTTTGTTCAGAAGGAAGTCAGACATCTGGAAGATGGCCAGTCAGCCCAGTCTAATTAGCATATTATCCTTTTGCTAGTAAAGATAAATTATATAGGATAGGATTGCTGAAAAAGGCACGGCAGGAGCCTTTTTCAGTAGGAGGAGATGCTCTTGGCAGACAAAATACATAATTCCTATATCATTATGTACCTTAGTAAAAAAAAGGTCACCTGAATTAGCAACAGAGAAGAAAATTACTATTATATTGCAATTATTATTATTATTATTATTCTGTTTTGACCAAAATGCAAATTCTGTGTATATTTGCAGAAGGTTCTTGGATTCAAACTTTTGTTTCCATGATAAAAAATATAAGCCACAGTTTAGCCCTAGCCAGTTTGGCTCAGTGGATAATTGGCTTGTGGACTGAAGGGTCCCCTGTTGATCCTAGTCAAGGGCTGGGTTTTGGGCTCGATCCCCTGTAGGAGGCATGCAGGAAGCAGCTGGTCAATGATTCTCTCTCACCATTAATGTTTCTATCTCTCTCCCTCTCCCTTCCTCTCTGAACTCAATAAAAATATATTAAAATACAAATACAAATATATAAGCCACAGTTTAAAAACTCATGAATTCTTAATGTATTATGAAAACATTACTTTTCTAATTAAAATTAAAACAAGATGCTCCAAGATTATCATTGGAGCAGGAATCTCCTTGGGAAGAAGGCAAGATTTACCTCCCCCAGGAATATTTCATTAGCTCTACATATTATTAGCTGCACTTACCGGCCACTGTCAACCTCCGCTCTGTGCGGACCTGTGCAAGAATGTTCCCCTCCCTTTTAACCTCAGTCGGTAGAAAGCCCAAAAGGGTGAGTTCAGAAACTCAGTGGTGCCCTCTAGGCCAGCCCAGCCCTGCCTTCTGCATTTCATGTGTCTCCCTAGACTAGCAATGACCTTCTTTGGTTAGAATGAGGGTCAGCAAAGCAAGCTTTCAGTTAACAGCTTTACCCTACAGATCCCTACAGCAGAACTCGGTGGACGGGGCTGCGTATGTTCCTTCATTTACTAGTACTTCAATGCACGTAGATGAATTAATAAATGATCCCAATATTAAGAACAACCAATGCACAACGTTCCTCTTGCTACAAAGGAGACTGTGTCAGCTTTTATAAATGACTACCCGGCCACCTGTGCTGTCAGGGTGGGAGAGAGGTGTTTACTATTTTCCCCCGCACTGTGGTTTATTCCACAGTTGATCTTAGTTTTTATTTAGTTGATCTTACACATGAGCACAAGCAGTTTTTAAATGCTAAATTTAGTAAGCAAGGTTCATTGGGGGGGAAAAATACATGATCATCTCTAAACTTTGTATGATATCAAGAACCTTGGCATTACTTCCCCCCCACCCCACCCCCCTCTTTGTTACAAAACATTTTCTTTTTTTTAAAAATCGGAAAAGGCAGGACTTCCTCCAGTTTTCTGCCTCTGACGCAGGGGACATAAAGAAAAGTCCTCTTCGGAGAACTAAAAACCAAGGCGAACTTGAGCAAGCAGAGGAATGAAGGAGGTGGATGGATGCCCGCTCACCTCCGGGAGGAGCGCGGCAATGCCCAGAGGGCGCAGGGACCCGGCTAGGAGGGGGGAGCCCCAACCGCAGCCCTGCGCGCGGGGAGGCGGGCGGGCGGGCGGGCGTGGCCTGGGGGGGCGGCCCCAGGGGCGTGGCGCGGGCGGGGCCCCCCAGCCTTAGAGGTGCGGTTCTCCACAGCAGCTAGCTCGGCGCAGACCCGGGCCGGTGCTCTGCGGGTGCGGAACTCCCTCTTCCCTCGCGTGGCTTCTTGGGGCGCCACGCGGTACCGCACCCTCCTGCGCCTCGGGGCCAGACGATCCTGCAGGTAACCAACTCCCCACAGACTTCCCTGTTCCGCTGCCCCGCGGCGGGGAGGGAAGATGGGAAGGAGGATGGGAGGGGGGAGCGGGCTCTCTGCCCGGACCCCGCTGCTGCTGCTCCGGGCGGGGTGGGCTCTGTCCGGGGGTGGGGCGCGGAGCCCGGGCTGGGAGTGCGGGCGCGCGGTGGGACCCCGCGGCGAGCGAGTGAGCCACGGGCCAGGGATGGCGCAGGGCGCTCCCTCGGACCCTGCCCTCCTGTCTGATCAGTGGTGCCCGGGGCCGGAATGCTGGTACCCAGGGTCCCCTGGAAGCCACTTTTTTTTTTTTTTTTTTAGGCTCTTTAAAAGCTGGTCCGCAAAGGGAGTCTGAGCTTAGACATCCGGAAAGTTGGGGGGAGATAAGAGATCAACCAAAGGACTTGGATGCATGCATATAAGCATAACCAATAGACGCAAAACTCTGGGGAGGGAGGGCATGTATGGGAGTGGAGGGGGGGGTTGGTAAGGTATGTACACATATAATATCTTAATTTAAAAAAAGAAAAGAAAAAAAAGAACCACAAAAAAAGAAAAGAAAGAAAGAAAGAAATCGGGAGAGTTGACTGCAGGCATGGACAGGCTAGAAGCGAACAGTTAGTTACACACTGCCATGCTCTGGGTGCCAGGGACTTTAACCCTCACCATAGACAGACATTACCTCTGGTTTACTGATGACGCCAGAAAACAAGGGACTCTACGGGGGGCGGCTGCAACCGCTGGAAAAGAGGCGCTGGTCTGGGGGCTTCCCCAGGCTTCCCGCTCCCTCCCTGTCCCTTCCCACGCAGGGCTGGGAAACTCTGCTGCTGGGTCCATTGTGAAAACAGGTGATTTTTCTTCAACACGGTTTATCCCTTCCTAGGATTCTTTTTACTTTTTTTTTTGTTGTTGTTGTTATTGTTAGCGTCCAGTTTCTAATTCCAATTCTTCCAGTTTTTGATCGTTAGCTTTTGACGTGTTCGCTCTTGCTCACAGCCCTTTCCCCCCTTGCAGCACTTTCTCTGATTCAGAGCAAAACAGAGGCCCCCTCCCCTGCCACACACCATCTTTCACGGTGGACGAGGTCACCTGCAGACCCAGGCGGGACCTATGGGCTGCCCAGTGGAGGTAAGTTTGGTAGTTACCTGGCATCCTGCATATTCTTTGCTTTGCTGTTTCTTCGGAGACGGAAGAGAGTCTTCGTTGTCCAAACAGAACAAGAGGCCAGTCGGGAGGGCATACAGTGTTCGGAGAAAGCCATAGTGTCTGGAGAGGAGAACATGGCCACAGCTTTTGGTGGCCTGAATTCAGCGAGTGGTAGGTGAGGAACTCTCTCAGGACCTGTCCCCTCCTCTCAGTATTCCGCCCCCCTTTCAGAGCTGTTCTGAAAGGCAGGCTTGTTTTATAGAGGGAAGGTGGAGGGGAGAACAGTTTTCAAAGATCAGTGTAAATTACCTGCTAGGAGCCCAGACAGTTCCAGACAAGCCAGAGGATTTGGTAACAGAGTTCAGTTCTGGCAAGAAGGAAAAGCTCTGGATACCTGCTATTGCTTAATGAATTTTGTGCAGACCTTAAGGATGGTAGCGTTGGGAAACTTTGAGGTCTTAGAAATGACTAACGCCTCTACTTTTTTTTTTTTTTTTTTTAAGGCTTTACCATTTATTTAATTTTTTTCCCCTTTTTGCTGTATTTATTGAGGTGACACTGGTTAACCACAGTAGTCAGGTTTCAGGTGCGCAGTTCTTCAACACATTGTACACTGTCCTGTGTGCTCACCAGCCCAAATCAAGTCTCCATCCATCAACATTTATCCCCCCCATACCCTCCTCTATGCCCACCTTCCTCCAAATCATCACAGAAATCCTCTACTTTAAAACACAATACCATGACTTTTCTTTTATAAAGTTTAACTGGCACATAAGGTAATTTTTTATTTTTTTTTTCCTGTTTCATGGTGAGGGTTTGAAGGTTTACCATCAGCTCCCTCCCTTCAAGCTGGCCCTGGCAAGGACCTCTTTAGCCTTGGCCTGGAATATGTACTGGATTCATCTTTCACTAATTATAGCTTGTTATTGACTAGTTTTAGGACTGTTTCTAGTCACAAAGTCGCTTCTTTCCCATTTGTAATTTAGTTGCTGCACGCTAAGAAAAATGTTTTCCCTGAGAACTATTAACTATCTACAAAATCAACTCTCTGCAGGGCCTGAGAGCTAAATGGGATTTGGCCGGTCCCTGGTGACCTCCAGAGGTCTTGCTAAAATCTGGTTGGACATCAGCCATTTCCTCCACGAAACAATGCAGGAATTCTGGTCCAGTTTGGCCAGAGCTTTTTTTCTCCCTGCCCCGTAACCCCCGAAATAGTGCAAATTTTTTATTTAAAAAAATGTTTAATAAAAAAATGTTTAATATAAGTATTGGCCAATTTTTCTTTTTAAAAACACAAATCAAATTTGGTTTTATGCATCTGTCTTAGAAACTGATATACCTGCTAATTACATTTTCAGGCGAATGAAAAATTCTGATCTATGATGTAGGTCGTGTATATTTTTCATTATATGATTTATGACATGCACATTATTTCCGCTGCATTGAGTCCTTGATGGGGCATCCAAGGAATTTTGTCCCTGTTTTTAATATTAAGTCTAGTGAAAAAAATCTATTCATGGTTCTGGCTCAGGATGTCAAATGCCTAACTCCCTGCCTCAAATAGCAAGTTCCCAAGTGACTGTTCATATAAATATATACATCAGTTCCCAAATGGCTGTCCATTTAAATCAGGTGTGCTTCCTCCAGGGGACTGAATTCTTAACCACATTGCCTTTGACAGAGGAGGGATGGCTTACGGTTGTCCAATTATAGCGAATGCCATGTATGGTAGACCAGAATTTCTCAACTTTGGCACTTTTGACACTTCGGCCAGAGAACCTCTTGTTGTGGGGATTGTCCTGTGCATTCTAAGTTGTGTAGCAGCTTCCTTAGTCTCTACCCAATAGATGCCATAGTCTCCCCTCCCTCCAGTTATAACAACCAACATATCTCCAGGCATTGCCATATATCCCTCAGGAGATAGTCATCCTGTTGAGAAAAACAAGCAAACAAAAAAACAGCCAATATTTAAAATGCTTTAGACATTTATATACTAAAAATTAAGTGAAAACAATTAACTTTAAACTCCTAATGACTTGAGAAGCTATTTGTAAAGTTTAACCAAATATCTGACTTTTAAAATATGTTTAGAATAAAGATGACTAAACGAGTGTCTTCCTCATGAATGGCTACATGTGTCTGGCCAAGTTTTTTTTTTTTTTAATATTTTTTTTTTTTTTGATTTTTCGCAGAGAGGAAGGGAGAGAGATAGAGAGCTAGAAACCTCTATGAGAGAGAAACATTGACTAGCTGCCTCTTGCACACCCCCTACTGGGGATGTGCCCGCAACCAGCATACATGACCCTGACTGGAATCGAACCCGGGACCTTTCAGTCTGCAGTCTGACGCTCTACTGCTGAGCCAAACTGGTTTCGGCTCTGGCCAAGTTTTATCCAAAGAAATTCTGATATAGTTATTGAATTTTTAAAATTTTAAATGTTGAAAACTAAAAACAAATTCTATGGTAGTTTCCAGTTTTCTCCTTTTTAGTAGACTCTCCTTTTGAAGGTGATAGAGTAACAATGGACCATGCTTGTTAATTTGGGAAAATTGACACAATCTCTGATATTAGAACCCCAAACAAAATTCTAAGCAAAAATTTGAATGATGAGATTTAGTATAGACCATGTTCAGACTAGAATTTAGTTCTAGGAAAAATTATAAAGCTTTTTACCTAATAATAAGAGCTAAGAAAAGCATGTATTTTTTTTCCTTTTTTTTTTAAAAAAAAATAAGCTTTTTTTATTTTAAAAAAGTTCCAAACTTTCAAAAAAATTGTGAAGATAATACAGAGTTCCTATATACTGTTTCCCTATTGCTAATGTAATCATATTTCTCTAGTCTGAAAAGTATTAACTTTATGAAAAAAATCCCATCCCCTACATAATACACGATAACGTATCAGACGAAAAAATGTCCTTAAACTATAACCCTCTCTTTTTTTTTTTTTTTTTTTTTTTTTTAATCCTAAGCTTAGGGAGGCTGAAAAGATAGCTCTGGTTATAAAAAAATACATCCTTAGCTAGAGATGGGTTATCCATTGAGTCTCTTCCAGAAATCAAACTAATTTGTAAGACTCAGGACAGGTTACATAATTTATGGGTCTTGTTTTCTAAGACCTCAAAGTTTCTTATTGAGAATTTCAAGATGGTGACAATCAGATGGGTATTAAGCAAAGTGCAGGGTCCTGTGTGACTGCTCCGGTTGTACAGCCATGAAGCTGGTCTTTGTAAAACTGTCCACGGCTCCAATGAAGATAGTGACCACAGACTCAAATCCAGAGAAGGAAATGTTACTGCTGCCATAAAACATGCAGAGTTTCTGATTCATTCCCAATCAGGAGTCCTACATGTATTTTGCAATCAATGCATTAAATATACTAATAAATTTCTCCAATTACTAACTTTTCTTCTATTGTTAAAGAGATAGCCAAAATGTGGCTAAGTAACCTATTTATGCATTCACTGGACAGCTATTTATCATGCAACTGTTAGACGCAACCCATTGTCAGCTCTGGGGCTACAGCTGGGAACAGGATGGAAGGTCCCTGCCTTTATGAGCAAACTAGTCTAATTGCTGGGAGGAGGCATGGGTGTGTGTGTGTGTGTGTGTGTGTACACACGCACGCACGCACTCATGCACACATGCGTGCAGATTAGTGCAGTTACACAGGCCATCACATTATAAGTGGTAATTCAGGAAAGCACAAGATATCCAGAGAATATTTAACTTGGGATCCTAATCTAGTTTAGAGGAAAGTGTTACTCAAGGGGGTAGGTCTCCCTAAAAATAGATATTTAAAATGAGTAGAAAATAGGTGAATTAGGGGTTGAAGTTTTGGATAGAAAGGTTTGAGACCTTGGCAGGAATGTGGCTTGGGATGAGGTCTCTTGGGTCATTTTCAGCATTTTGGACTTTAACAAACAAGTAGTGGGAACCCAACTGAGGATTTTACTTGGGAGATGAGATGATTCGGTCTGGGTTTTGTAAGTGATCATCGTTGCTGTGTGGAGGAGGGTTTGGTGGGGGAGGTGCTGGTGGCATACATGGTGCCTTTGTGCAAAGGAAAAGCCTTCCCTCCCCGGTGGAACAGTTGGAAAAGATGTCCTGCTTGGTCCTGGCTAGGCCAGGCCAAAGGCTTTAGCCCCCTGAGCCAGTCACTTGCACAAGCATAGGCTATGAATTTACACAGAACCACAGTGGGGATTGGGTGGGGGCAAACAATGCAAGGTTTTGCTGTCACCCAGGGATGGTGCAGTGATGCTGAACCTGTCAAGGGCAGAGAGAGACTGAGTTTGTCGTTAAAATCAGTGAGAAGGTAGTGGTTATTTGGCTATAGTTGATGCAGGGAGGAACAAGGATGCTTCAAATGTTTCTGGCATAAAGAACTGAGTGGGACAGAATTGTGAAACCATTTGTGGTGTGAGAGAGCACTGGAGGAGGAGCAGGTTGGCAAGAGGTGGGGGAGGGAGATCATTCTATTTGGACATGTTTGCTTCTGAGACACCCAAGTAGAATCAAGGTGAAGACAACTGGTGGAAATACATGTTTGAGAGCTGTTGCATAAAAATAATCATGCCCATACAAAGAGATGATCCAAATTGGGATGTCAGATGAGAAGATAAAGAGGCTGGCCCCAGAGAGTGAGAGTGTTGTGTTTGGAAGAGGAGAAGCAAGTGAAAGCTACTTGGAAGGCAAATGTGCATGCAAGAGAGGGAGGACATTTTTTACCTGACTTGAGATGGGAGAGAGTTGAACATATCCTGATGCTGCTGGGAAGTTTCTGGTAGAGAGGGTAAGACTCAAGATTTGGGGGTGAAAAATAAACAATAGGTCCAGGTTTCAGAGGAGGTGAAAGTGGATGGATTCCAGAATTCAGATGGGGGAATGGGTCTTTGGTGGAAAGAGAAAGAGAAAGGATGAGTAAAAAGGTCTTATCTCTGGGGACCAGAATTTCAAGGTCTTCTCTTTTCTCTGAAGGA